TTCTAGACCGTTTAAGAAAATATGGGAAAGCGAGAATATTACACCAAATTGGAGTGAAGTCATCATTGTGCACATCTTCATAAATGATCTATGTAATACGTCTTACAATCATAGGAGTATGAATTTGACAGCAGTCACACCTAAGGTATTGGTTACTGCCTTTCCTAGCAAGCTGAATGTTTTTCAGGCCATGGGTGCATTAATCATGTGTTAACCTTTCGTCTGTTGCTAGAACACTGTCACGCGTATCGGAAACCAATAATCGTGTTTCATAATATTAGGACCGTCTTCGATTCGTTGGACAGAGCTGCTTTGTGGAAATGCCTTTTTATAGAGATGTGTTCCTGAGCTATTTGTTAGCATTCTGAAGGTCCCATGCAGAAACAGCTCAGCTAGAGGGAGGACATACAACTAGCTGTCACCACAGCTCCCAAACAACATGATAAGATTATTTATTGAGCTTAATCTATTGCTCATATTAAATCATCATCGGTAAATAATATTTTGTCACCAATTGAACTTATAAGTTGAGGCCACGAGTTCTATTAAGTCGGTTAAATTTGGAGAACAGTAGAAGATCACAGTGTCGTGATATTGATATTATTGAGAGACAATAGACCACAAAAACATAAACTAAAAGAACAGCTTTTTTCTTCGTTACCTTAGTTATTTCAGTATGTCAGATTTACCTATTCTACGCATACATACTTTTTTCTTTTATGTGATGTAAATTTGTCATCGTTTTTTCTAGACCATTTTTCATGCCTTTAAAGCATATCGTTCAAAATAATCACAATAATTATGCCCCTCTACTTATTCAAGCTAGTGAAACGAAATTTTATTTTCAAGTTAGTTGTATTCTTTGATACACTCGCGTATTCCACATCAAATTATGATGACCACTAACTAGGTTTATGTGAGCTAGAAGTAAAGAAAAACGAGTCAGAAAGTTTAAATGTATTTCGGTTGTATGTACTGATGTTTTGCAACAGCAGAGCGCGAGACACGGAAGCATATGTATACTTTTAATTGATCCAACCCTGTTTATATCTGTACAATTTATACTCTTTAACCAGTCCCCGAATATGTGATTTGGCTTACATTAAACGACATGAAATAGAATGTTCAAACACACATTCTGTTGCTAATGCACTATTGAAATGAGGGAATATAAGAGAATAATATTCCGCTGGAACGCATTGTTTGAGTTTGAGGCTAGAGTTATTCGTCGAAACGATAAGCTTCAACTCTTCGTCATTCTTTTGGTGCTCAACAGGTGTCTTGAGGCTAACGGTAGTATTCTCACTGTATATACATGCAACTTGCAGAGTGCGTCAATTGCCTAATACTACCACCCATTCATGTGTCTCAGATCGCCAGTAAACCGTGACATAAAGTCAAGTTGACAGAATTCACGCTGCGAGTATCTGTAGATTTTCGCGCTGAGTATGTACTTTAGAGCCTTATAATCTGTGGAGATCGCGAAACGTTTGTCTTCTACCTTGCGGTGAGTGTTTAAAGGCCACTGAGATTGCTAGCGACTCCTTGCTGAAGGCAGATTACCTCAACCATACAAAATTAAGCCGTTTGAAGAAGAGTGTTGTCGGTTCTAATCCGTCGTCAACCAACTGAATTGCAGCCACTCCCTCATGATTAACGGGCACACGTAACATTTATGCAACTTGCGCGTTTGTATCAGGGAATTAAAGGGTTGCTGCCTACTTCATAGCATCTTTCATTTGCAAAATTGCACAGGTTTTCTACTCTGATGATTGAAAGTCCTTTGGCTTTTCTCTTAGAATATTAGTCAGGGGCTATGCCGACCATGTACAATTAGGAATAAAATGTCGATAGAACTTGATCAATCCCAAATACCCACCAGTTGAGTTGTCGTGTAGTTGTAGAATACTGTTTGCTGGTATCCCCCTATTCTAGCCCTGGTGCAATCTAGTGCTTTCAGTAACGTGTTCTAGGAACTCTTTGGTTTCTGTCCCATAATGCGCTCGTTCCGTTTGGTTGTCACGACATTGACTCCTAGTTTGCACAGTACTGTCAAAATATGCCCTTCATTTGCGTTCATATCTGAACCAGTGATTGATAGGTACTCCTCGGACCCCTTGGCAAACAGAAGACCATTCATTGAAGTGTCCATAGATCCCTGTGCGCCATCTCGAAGGCCAAACGGCATCTGCATAAGTTCGTGTGGTCGAGTGGGGCGGGTTGGTAGCTGTTTAAGGTATATCTTTCTCGGCCACCGGTAAATTGTGGCAGGAGCTAGCCAGGTAAACGTAAACACACATGTAGCGCCTCGAGGATTATTAGTAAGGTCTTGAATGTGGAGTGGCAGATATCTATATGCAACGGCTCGCCCACTCAGATCTCTGTGACCACATAGTTTATCCTCTCTCCTGGGTTTCTAATGGTACCCCGTACTTTTTAAGAAGTCTATTAGGAGGATTGCTTGGTGTGGGCCAGTGACACCGAAAGTCTATGGAGACTGTCACTTAAATCTGAGTTTAAGCGTCAATATTTCCTTTTCGAAATTCGCGATGTAGGTTTTTCGGTGTCCTGTAGCGTGACAGGCGAATTCATCGTCCCCACTGAACCTTTGTTTTCGGTATGATATTTAGTGAAGCTTCTGTATCTACCTGGAGGTCTATACCAGAGATTTTATCATTGAATACCCTGACACTCATTCCCAGTAGTCAAAGATAAGTGGACAAGTGTAATGGGGAAACTTCGTATGGAAGCGTATTCACCATTCAGTCTCGCACAGTCAATAAGGAGCTCTTTACGAACCACAAGAAAGATGTAGTTCCTACTTGTTTTCCTCTCCCGTCCCTCTGCATCCCTTAACCACTAGCTCCCTCTCAGTGACTAATAATATCCTTCGTCTTAGTGACAGCAAAGTTTATCTCAAATAAGCATGGCAATATATCCTGTTGTTGACTCTTCTCGGTCAGGCGATACTATTCTTTCTAAGTAGAGTAGTGTGCAGGTAAGGGAGACCCTACAACTCTATGTCAGGTAATCAGATTTGCGCCCGGAAGGAAGTTGACACAGATTAAAACTGTGAAAGATAGTGGAGGAACCCAGTTTCCAGATTTGCAGACCGAAGATAATGTTAGTTTGATATCTTTAGGGGTGTCTTGATTCGAACACCACCAGCAATTCCTCTAAATTATGTCAACGGGAAGCAGACACTGAACTGTCACTGAATATTTATTCCCTGACAGGAGCACAGTTATCAAGGGGCATAAAGCTAATGAAGGCCACGTAAGTGGCGGGAGTGAATGAAATCCCCGCCTTGCAAGAATGTATCGAGACCTCACCGAACACACACCAATGCTGTGAAATACATGGGAGGAATGGAGGAAAAAGTACATGTTAATAGCCGAAAGGCCACTTAATGAAAATCCCAATGTAGGACGAATTGAGCCTTGGAAAGACCTGGCGCAGGATCATGGTCCTCCCTAACCAGAGCGAAGGATCAGCCCGCACCCTCCAGGAGATACTGTAATTGATCTTGAAGCGGAGACATTTCTTAGAAGAGGTTGGATTCAGAAAAAAGGAGTATCAGGTGAATCACGTAGCAACACTATGCAGCATCCGTCAGAGCCTTGAATGCTGATTATCACTTTACCTCCGCTTCACCAACTTTGAAGTGTCTCTGACAGCATCACCTATGGAATTATTCGGAAAATGCTTCGGCGCCAAGAAGTGCAATGCCACTAATATTCCTGAACTTAACTTGACAGTTATGTCATGATGCCACGTAATTCACAACCGACGGCTGACCAAAATGTGTTCATTTAGGACAGAAGTAAGGTGGGATTGCTTACTGTCAGTGGCGATTCTTCTAGTTGTGCTGGACTGGATCAGGCCGCACACCATGAGAAGTGAGAAGACAGGCACGTTCTGAGCTGACATAATTCACCTAGAATAGTGGGATTTCGCAGATGATTTATGTCTCGTATCTTAGAATTATGCGAGCGAAGACCAACAATTCGGCCTAGGTCCATCAAAGACAAGAGGTCAAAGTGAGCACAGAGAGGATGGAAGTGATAAGGATACATAACCACAATCACCAACAACAAACACCAATTATCACCAGTGAGGAATATCTAAAACAAGTCCTCCTGCACTTACCTGGGTGACAACGTTTCAACTATTGATGGAGGGTATTTTGGTGCCAAATTCAGGATCGGGAAAGCATGACAAGTTATAATCAAACTGAAATAAATGTGGAGGTGTGAAGTTTTGATACTGGCGCTAGGTTAGTCTTTCTGTATAATTCACAGCCCAAACCATTGCCGATAGCTTGGGAAATTTCATTAACAAATGTCTGCACTTGATACTAAAGAACCGATGGCAGGATGGATTGGATGAACAACAAGGAAATATGGCTGGTGGTGAATCAGCCAAGACTCCGTTACCCAAAGGTATGCAAAAGGAAACGGAGGTGGATACGACATATACTGAGGAGACCGTTGTTTCACACCACTTTGGTAAAATGAACCCAAATGGGAAACGATGAAATGGCGACTGAGGGTAATATGCAGAAAAAGAAAGCTTTTATGTAGTCTCGGAGCCAGGTGAAAAGATGGAAAAGGACACGGCATAATGCTTTGTACTTCTGAAGCTCTTCGTCCCACGTGGAACTCAGGGAAGGAATAATAACGGCTAACACGTTAAGCTTTCTGTAGTTTTGCCTACTGACAGATATCACGGAAAGATTATAGTTAAAGAAACACCATCATGACCTCTATATCAGTGAAGCAAGATTGTAAGGTTCCTTTCGGAAAGCAGTATTAGTTCTAAGTATCAGTATTCATTACCAGTATTCGGTTTTCCCCACATTTTGATCCATTCATCTTAAACACATTACTTTGACGACTTTGCCTGACAATTTAGATGGCATAAGGCATTACGTACATTACAGTTGGTGTTGGCAACTTTGAATGTAACTGTCATAAACAAAGAGATATGGGCACAAACAGATCATTGAAGGTTGAAAGTTGTGTTTAAGTAGTTGGATATTTGTGTCAGCGCCCACTTTGGTTTTTACTCGTGCTGATGATGACGGAGGTGAAGGCTGTAGTTAGGCACAAAAAGGTGTCGGCAAAACGACAATTTAGGCATCGGAGGTTTATAACCAAGTTAAATGACAAGCGAAAGAAAAACGGACAAGAACCGTTACCTGGGCTGAGGACTCCCAAGGCAAAGGAACAACAAAAGCCAGTGAAAACTCGATTCGTAAGTTGGTTTAACAAAAACCCTTATTTTGTTAAAGCCACGGAACTATATGGCTCAACAAGGAAAGACGAAACTACGCCTTCGTAAGACTAAATGTTTCTCTCAACACGTCCGAAAGCTCCGTTCCAACATCCAACCAGGCACCGTGCTGATATTACTAGCTGGTCCACACAAAGGAAAACGCGTGTTATTCTTGAAAGCACTCAAAAGTGGTTTACTTCTCGTTACAGGTACGCGAAAAATGTTCATGTTATAGCACTGGCTAGGTCCTTTTAAATATAACGGTGTTCCCCTTCGTCGAGTGAGTCAGCGTTACGTCATTGCAACATCAACGCGTGTTGATTTGTCGGAGATAAAAATTCCTGAACATATTGACGATGGATATTTCCGTCGTACCGATTTGAAGGAGCGCAAAACGGATGCTGAAAAACTATTTAGTACTGAAACAAAGGTTGGTTTGCATAAAGCATATGAGTTATATTTTGCTACTTTTACACATGTGACTTAATGGTAACTGTCGCCGTCTACGTACTTTGGAGAGTCAGGTTTATAACACCATTTTCATCTTTTTCAGAAGTATGTTGTCAGCGACATCAGGAAACAGGACCAGAAAGTTGTTGACAAGCAGGTCAGTGCATCAATGAAGAGTCATCCTGATTCGAAGATGCTTCACGCTTACATGCGTTCACTGTTCTCACTAGGCAAAAGGGACTATCCTCACAAAATGGTATTTTAACGTGTTAAAAAATATATTTTTGACGGATGTTGTCTTTTTATCATGTAAGTCAACATACAGTTGCATGTTAAACATGTGTTAAGAGGTAGACCCGAGATGCATGTCTCCAGTTTTTTTTACTGGTTCATGCAGTTGTCTCTTGACCGCTTGGCATTCGGCAAAGTAGGGCGTTATTTGGCATGTATTCTCGACGCATGTTTGTAGGGAGGTCAGAATTCAACTAAAACCATCGACAGACATTTGTGGTCATCATTCAGTTCGTGAATATGCTAGTAGGTGGTTTCCTGCAATTTTCGTTTAGGCTAACAGACCCGCAGTATTTATAAGCAGAGACTGGCATGTTGTCTGCCATATGCAGTTGGGAATTGGCTTTTCGCAGGATGCTCGCTATTGTATGTGTGTCGATATTCACCAACCGATTAGCAATCAACTTCTCTGATCTTATTGGAGTTGGAAGTGATAGGATGAAACTAAATCGTCAATTGAGGCGATGTTTAATTTGCAGTATTACGTTGTTTAATATTAGGTTTTCGACATAAGTTGTGAGTAGTCGTGAGCTTTTATGCACTGCACTGTGGAAAATCGTATCCTTCCTGAAGTCGTAATCCCTAATATTTTCGTAGTTATCAGAGATCGATTCTGGTGTTCTGGCTGTCATTTTCGTTAAGACAATACCTCAAATTAAACTAATGTTTATACTGATTAACAGAAAAAGGGTCCATTTGGCCTCTTCCGGTGTCAGAAAAAGCGCATTTCATTGTAAGTTGTCGAATTTGAACTATTGGGCATGAAGATGTACGTAGAAGTTCAGTCATTTAGGTCGAAGGTCATACTGCAGTTGGTGAAATATTGGCAGGGATGAGTTATATGGTGTAATATGTAACGTAAGAAATTAAGAAGTAATGTACTTTGGAGTTAATTCAACAGGATTTCGAGGTCTATGTTAATTGTATTTCAAGTGGAAATTAGTGTACATCAGTGTTAATCTTGTTTTGTGGTTGTCAAATGTTTTAATACTGTGAAAACATGAAGCACCTTAACCATTAGCAAAGACTGTACTTCTGTTAATATTTGTAGATGTCAGAGTAAGACGATTCCCTGAAAATTCGTGTTCGTTTTCGCTCATTAACCTGCACTGAGTAATCGTTAAATATTGTCACTGTTGAAAGTCTCCTGCCGTTGTCTTCACTGTTACTCCAGTGAGTCCAGAAGGAGGGAATGTGATTTAGTTCGAGTGTAGAGACCAGTCGAAGATATACTTCTCCGAGCCGCTGTTCAGTAAGTCCAGTGATAAATTTCGGTGGCGCTTTTAATACTCCTCGACGGCTGCTATGGGGAAGTCACTACCTATGCAGTATTCATAATTTAGACTCAACGGATCTTAAGTTGGTTGAAGTTAGGGGTCCAGGACACTACAGAGTAGATCGTAGGGTGATAGTCTACCCAGTCACAAAACCTCATTAGACATCGTGGCTGTTCTAACATATTTAGTGGACGTATCCTTTTTCATGTTAATCTGCGATGCTGGTAATTTTACGGTGCATAAGTAGACGTTTACAAACTTACTTTATGGTACATTGGGCCTTAGTGATAATTTGTCAGATTTTTTAGTGACACGGAAGTATTTTAAAGCGTAGCTCTCTCTATATATTTGCTTTGTGTTGTCTAGTTTTCCGTCAGTAGACAAAAACGAAATAATTTGTGTGGATGTCTGTCTCGGGCATCTACAAGCGAGGAAGTCAAATAACATATTGGCTTATTGATCACTGGATAGATTCTTTTTGAAGTCTATGAGGAATACTCAAAATAGTCGGCGGTTATGGAATCAGCACTAAGGTGCACAAGAATGTTAGAGCTGAGACGAGAATTTGATACCTATTTGCTTTCTGTTGCGCAATGTTATTCAAATGTGGAATAAATTTTCTAAAGTAAGAGATCCCTACGGTGCTTCTCAGATACCTGTTGCTCCAAATTTCATCAAGGTTAAATTAGGTGGCAACTAGAGACCGGACACTGGAAACTACCGCGATGTGTTTAGCCAGTCCTTTGTTTGGTGCATACTGAAGTCTACTGGTCAACTAGCACGAAAGCTAAGTCGGCCCAATAAAATCTTGATAAATTGAACGTGTCAAGTCCTAGTTAAATAAAGAATTTACGCCTTATTTTAGCATTTAGTGGCATATCATTATGACGAAGTAATAACCATGAGACTTAATTCATATTGGTACTACTTCGCCATTTTCAAAAGTGGCTACCGCGTGCTGCAGGAGCAGCTGTGTAGGAATCTAATGCAATTCAGAGGTAGGCATAAGAAGTGTATTTATCTCGTGTTCGTTTGTGTCCTTCGATTTCTGGGTATCGCAAATGTTTTTCCCGTGTCGTCCATGTTGTTCTCCATCATTAATTTCAATCTTGGAGATAACTAAGTATTTGGGAATGAAGGATAATGGTTCCCACTGCAACATTGACAACAGAATATTCAGTGAAGCCTGAAAACATCCAGCTTAGTCAAACTACTAGTTGCTTTGATATATATATATATATATGTAAAGTATGTAGACAAAATGTTCGTTATTTGCGTTAAGGATATGGTAGTTGACGATATTTTACTCTCACCCAACAACTGTCTTTGAAATTTTCCCGGAAGAAGAGTCTAGCTTGGTATTTCTTTCTTGGTGTGTTTCTCACAGGACGTAGAAGGTTCATCCAGTGATAACAAATATGGGATGGACAACTAACTAATTCCTGTGGTCGGGTGGTTATTCCCTGTAGGAAATATCCTATTCCCTCCAGTGTAGAATAAACAATATTCGTATTTCTGGCTGTATTGACGCGGAAGTTTCTTTTCTAAATGTCACACTTAGTGAGGACAGATACCCAACACTATCTGTTGATGAAGGCAAGAGAGGTGGACATTATAGACTGGTTACTAGCTCAGTTCTAAAGGAAAACGCCTTAAGTTCAACGATGATCAGGCTTTAGATATGCTCAAAAAGGAGTTTTTCTAAATCAGCCTTTAAGACACCCTTTGCGGAAAAACTCAAATTAACCCTCATCAACAAGAAGTTGTTCTCCGCCTGTGTAAAAGGTAAACTCTCATTTGTGATTGCCTCTATTCACATCTATCAGTGCACTTACTTTTGTGGGGAAAGCACACAGGTCGTACCCACAGAATGTTTCTATATGGTTCCGACAGTGCGTTCCAGCGTAGTTTTACAAGTGTGTGAGATGATTTCTATAGTATTCGATCAACTGTCGCTACGCTAATCTCTACGAGGATTTCAAGGTCATATATAGGATCTAAACTAAACTGCGGCATTGTCTTCGTTTCAATTCGCAAAATATCTGAGTCAGTCGTTATACGTGTACTATTAATACTATTATTCCCCTAGGTTCCGAGTGTGACATAGGGCTTCAGTAGGACATAACCATTTCACCCTGTTTTCTGTAGTCCTCTCCAGCTGGCTTCGCAGTTGCCCATAGACTCCCACCTCCTCCTCCTCCTGTGATCTCCTCAATGTAACCTCGGACATCACTTCTCATTTGGGTTCCACTCCATAGCCTGGCGCGCGATGTCACTGGACGGTTTTTTCAGTGTGCCTAATCCATTTCGATTTTCTCTCGTATATTTGTTTGGTGATCGATTCTTGGTTGTTTGATTGGCAGATTTACTTGTTGCTAATTCTTTCTGGACATCTGATCTTCAGTATGGAGCAAGCGAAAGCAGCCTTTGATAAAAGACTATGTATACGGTTGTGCAGTTTAATAACATATTAATTGACAAAAGTCTGCTGAATATTGTATCTCTAATGAGGAACACTTATGTTGTATTTGCAATTGTGGATCCTGTATGATCACCTGATTAAGTTCAAGATATAGTGGCTAAAAACTACTAATTTTCCGTTTTTCTTGGAATACTTTGGAATTCGTTTATTTTTCGTCCTTATTTCTAATACCGAAGTTATATGGAGTAAACTCTATCCTAAATCATTTTGATGATCATGCTTACCTACTTTATTCTGTTGTCCCTTTTATTTAACCTGTTTTTCTTAAAAATATTTTGAATGTATAAAAGAAATCTTCATAATAGTGTTTGAAACGTTATCCACTGAATACTAATGTTCTATAATAAGTGCGGCAGTAAAAGTAAATTAGTTTTAGACATGTAAGTAAGTCGGTCTACCGTTTTGTGAAGATACTTTATATAAGTAGGTTGACATTTGTAATGATTCCGAATTGTTTTCCGTACTATTTCGCTTATTACGTTATTAATACAGTTACTTCTGATTTCTGCGTGAAAATATGCTCACTGGTGTAGTTACACTTCGGTTTCAAGCGGAATTTAGACCCTATCCGGTTTCGTCCGGTACGAAAATGTTGAAACGCTGTCAGCACCTTCTACAGAACTGGTCGTTATGATGAATCACTGGATTACGAGTTTTAGCTTATCCAGAGTAAGCGTTGGGAAGTAAACATGAGGTTTTCAAATAATACAGCCTCTTTACAGTTGGAAGTTAGCTTAGGTCATTTATTCATTCGACTTCATTTGTTTTCTAGACTATTTTAATCGAGCGTATCGTTTGTAAATGACACTTGATATTTTCACTAACACTGTCCTTCTACTTACAAGTAGCTTATAAATGTTGGTGAAATTTGGTAGATTTGTTAAGCAGAGAATAGTGAAAGGCTCTGTTTTTCATTGCCGCTGTCATTAGTCAGCTGTTGTCGGAGTCTGGAGGACCCTAACCTCACTATATGACTCCAAATAGAACTCAGAGATTTTGTGCAATTTCCTCTGATGGACTTAGTTGAAAGAAGTTAAAACGGTGTCTTATTGGCGGTTCTTCTCTGTAAGCAACCATTATAATACTATACTAATTAATTAGATATATGTCACAATATACAGACTTTTCACAGGATTTTTGCGTTCCTCCCAACTTCATACATCTATAAACAATTTCACCAATGTGGAGTGAAGTCATCATTGTGCACATCTTCATAAATGATCTATGTAATACGTCTTACAA